GACCCGGTCGGGTTAGCGGGACCGGGCTCGGGTCCTGGTTTTGGAGGCCCGGCCCTAACGATCCAAAATTTAAAAAAAAAAAAAAAATTTTTATTCTTTTGGCTCAACGGCCACCCCAAGCGGCTATATAGCCGTTGGGTGGTACCAGGGGGGGTCAGGGGGCTTTGGGTGGGGGGTGGGGTGGGGGGGTGGGGGTGGGGAGTGGGGGTTAAAAAAAAAACCTATAAATACTCCTAATTTTAAACATTTTTTCACACCTCTTCTCCAACTCTACCTAAATCCTACTCTCTACTCATCTCCAATTCTCCATATTCATCTTCTCAAATTCTCTTATTCTCCTTTATATTTTATTTTACTATTTAATAATTATACAATTATTATATCTACTTATATATTAATTATCTACTTATATATTATTATCTACATATACTATATTACTTATATTTCTTATCTACTTAATCTCTACTTATATCTCTTAATACATACATACATACTATATCTACTTAATATATACTTTATATAATAAAGTATTAAATATACTTTATAAACTATTACTATATACTTAATACATAATAATATCTGCTTCTCTACTTATATTTTATATATACTTATTTTCCAATCTCCAATTCTCCATTATACTCTAATATTTAATTCTTATACAATTATTATATCCACTTAATACATACATTCTACATCTACTTAATATATATTTTATATATTAAAGTATAAAATATAAGTGTATTACTCATCTTATAGTAGTATACTTATATATTATATAATATAAACATTATATTATATATTACTTACTATAACTAGTATTATACTAGTTAATTAGTTAATTAGCATTCTTGTTACATTTTTCATTATACTAGTTAATTAGTTCATTACCATTATTGTAACATTTTTCATTATACTAGTTAATTAGTTAATTAGCATTCTTGTTACATTTTTCATTATACTAGTTAATTAGTTCATTACCATTCTTGTTACATTTTTCATTATACTAATTAAAATACTTCACATTTTATTTAACTGGTTGTTAGTTTGTTACATTTGTCACTATACTAGTTAACTACTTAATTAGCATTGTTGTTACATTTTTACTTGTACTAGTTATTTACTTCAAAAGTTGCTATAATTTTAATTGTAGAGACACACATTAATTCTACTTTGCAAAAAATTAGTTTGAAGTATTAATTAAAATAGTTTTAATTAGTTGCATTAGTTTTGTATCCATTATTATATTTGTTGTGAATTAATATTTGTTACATTTTTTAGATGGAAGGTGGTAGATATTCGGTTGATTTGGGTAACCTCCAACGCAATCGAAGAAACGAGATTGGGAGGAAGAAATCCCGCAAAGGTAAAGAACTTGCCGGGTCTTCATTTCAAAGCCGAGATGATTTTGAAACGGGTTACCAAAGGCGAGATGGAGATGCGATGTCCGAAGAACAACTCCAACAAGAATTGGCCCGACATAATAACCGCTTTCTACAACAACAACAAATGCCGACGACCATTGACGAAGAGGAGCTTGAGGATGAAGATGCGGAGGAATTGAAACCGGAGACGGCCGAGGAGGAGGGTGCCGGCAGCCACGACGCCGACGCGCCTGCCTCATCCCAAACCGCCACCGGTAATAAAAAAAAGTAAGTCTGAACTAATGAAAAATAATTTTGATAAATGGAAGGACCCACAAACCGGCTATTGGCACGCAACTTGCAAGTGGTGCAACAACAATTATAGTTTGGGAACCTCCGGCGGATACGGATCCGCCGCAAGGCATCTTAAGGCAAAGCACCCCGTGGAGTATGCAAAATTAGGCGGCGGAACGGGGAAGCAAACTCAAATATCGAGGTTTGCGAATTCTCAACCTTTTGGTAATTTCTCCTACAATGATGCATAAAATTTGACTGGTATGGCTAACTTAATTTGTGAAGAAAATTTGCCTTATTTGTTTTCTGAAAGTCTTGCTTTAAGAGATTATGCACAAGGTAGTTTAAATCCTCAATTTAGAAATTATAGTCGCAAAACTGTTAAGAAAGAAATAATAAGGCTTTATAATGCGGAAAAGGTAAGGTTACAAAATTTTTTTGCAAACTTTGATGGGCGTGTTACTATTTGTTCTGACATATGGGAGGATGATTTTCATCATTTATATTATTTGGGTCTGACTGCACATTATATTGATGAGGATTGGAATATGCATAAACGTGTTCTTGCTTTTCGTGAATTTAACATATGAAGTTGATTTTGAAGAAAATGATGACTTTGACGTTCTAGACTGGTGGAAGTCAAAAGAAAAAACGTTCCCGATTTTAGCACGGATGGCTAAGCAAGTACTATCAATGCCGGTTTCAACAGTTGCTGTGGAACAAGAATTTAGTTCGGCCGGCAACGTCCTAACGGCATCTAGATCGAGATTGAGCGCGGAGTCTCTTGAGACGCTTATATGCTACCACGATTGGTTGAAGGCCGCACGTAGAACTCAAGAATTGAGCATCACCCCCTCCCAAGATTTTATGGATGACTCAACAACCGATGGTGGCTCTACCTATGCCGGAGATTCCGATTGATTAGTATTTTAGAATTTATTACAAAATGTATTTTATAGCACTTGTCAAATTTATTTATACTTGTACTTCATATTTCAAAATTGTAAACTTGTACTTCATATTTCAAAATTGTAAATTTGTAGTTGTAGTTCAAATTAATTTGTAAACTTGTACTTCATATTTCAAATAAATATGTGTTCACTTTTTCATATGTAGCACTTCTCAAATTAATTAATTGGTTACAATCTAACGACTTAAAATTATTTTTCTAAAATATAAAGCCGGTTTTTAAATTAAAAATACATTTAGAATATGTAATTTGTTTAAATACTTATACACCTATTTTGTAACATTTGTAAATTATAAATCAAACCACTTTTCTAAGTACAAATAGTTTTAGTTTTACTTAATTCATTAAATTAATTAATTTATTTTACAATATGTGTATAACTTAAAAAAAAAAATTCAAAGCTCCCAAACGGCTATATAGCCGTTGGGGCTATGGGTGGGGGGCAGGGGGGTCCCGGGGGTGGTGGTGTGGGGAGTGGGGTTCAAAAACATCTATAAATACATCTATTTTCTAACATTTTTCTACACCTTTTCTCCAATTCTTCTCAAACTCTTCTCCATCTTCATCTTCTCTTATTATCCTACATTCCTACTTATACATATACCATTTTAAATATGGAAAGTACATCTTCCCTTATGCAAAACAATTTTGACAAGTGGAAGGACCCGAAGACCGGACTGTGGTGGGCAACTTGCAGGTGGTGCAAGAAAGACTGTTGCTTGGGGCATTCATACGGATACGGGATGCCAATAAAACATATGTAGTCCTGTGACAAAGGGAAAACAACAACCAACGGTGGCGGAAATCCCAATTGATATTCATTACAAAATGTATTTCGTATTGTTATTTTTTTCTCAATTCTCAAATGTAGTTCTTATTTCAAATAAATGCACTTGAACTTTGTTTTTAATAGCAATTTGTATAATATATAATTAATTAAAAAAAATTGTAATGGCCCGGCCCGGCCCGGCGGGTGGCCCGAACCGTGACCCGGGCGGGTGGCCCGGACCGAACCGGAACCGGTCATTGACCGGGCCGGTCCCGGGCCTACCGTTATAGGACCCGAGGCCTGACCGGGCCTTGTCCCGGCCCGGGTCCATCACTGAATAGAACCGAATCGTTAAGGTTTGGTTCGGTTCCATATTGAGCTCCGGATTTTTTAAATGGTTCCACGTGTCTTGGCTTGGAACTGAACCGGTCCCAGAACTAACAAAAGGCTCACGGGCCCATATTGATGTTCAAATTGCATTGTAGCACACGTTTTTTTGTCTTTGTAATGAATTTGAAATGTAGAGGAGAGTTGATGAGAACTGTAGAATTGCTCCTCCTTTGTCTTTGTTCTTCTTTGTAGTAATCTTCTCTTTTGGATCAGCATGACTGAAGTCCGATGTTGCTTTCGAAATGATTGGTTGGTTAGTTTGAGGCGCACGCGCATGGGCTTCATCTTCATTACTACCTCCGTAACATTGGAATGTTCCCATTTGAAAAGTAGGTAGATTAAGAATAGTGAAAAGAGATATGTATTATTAGGGGTATGATGGGAAGATAGTGAAATAATGTGATGGAATAAAGGATAAATCCAAAAAAAGTAGGTGTAATAGTGTATTATTTTTAAAATTATTAAGGGTATAATGGGAAGAATTAGAAATGGGAAGATATTAATGTTACGTCCAAATAAGGAAAGTGGGAAGATATTTACGTTACGGAGGTAGTATCTGACAAAAGTCTCTTCGATAATGTAGTCTTCTTTTACTACTTGATTTGAAAGCTCCTGAGGTGTACTTGCCACCAGAGGCACAGTGGAAATAATGGGCGCTTCAGAGTTCAGAGTATGCTAACCGAGCAAATTTGGTAGGTCGCGTAGTGCAAGAGTTGTTTTCAATAATGATGGGTCAAGTTTTAATGCACGTGGACTACTCAGCCTACTCTCCCCCTCCTGACGGTCTGATTCATCGGACCATCATGCTTATTTTGAATTAAAAAACAAAAATGAAAAATGGAAAAAACTAAAGACATCATGGTGTTTTGTTAAATGTTAACCCACCACCAATGAAAGCACTAATGTGTGGTCTGCAAATAATGATGAAAGAGTTAAAACAAATCATGATAGTAAAATCGTCTTTAAAAAAATTGACTATTGGGACCGGACCAGGCCCAACACTGGACAGTCCTGATCTCAAAAAATCATACATAGAAGTTGCAATGCAACCCATGTACTTGGAGTTGAGAATAGCTCAACTGATCAAATGTATGAGTTGTTAATTTGGTATCTTCATCAAAGGACGATTTTATACAAAAGGACGCCTTCTGTGAATGTTATTGTACTTGCGGCATGACCCACTTTTCAAACAGATAAACAGAGGAGAAAGTGAGTGGTGCGGAGTAATAAAATGGCTATCAGGGGAGATCACAAAATTACAGAAGCATGTTTACTGACTGTTTATCTTTGACTTTTTGAAACTTTTTGTACATATTGTCTATATGGTAAGAATTCACATTTCTGACAACAAGAACAAGACTGCCTAACTCCTAGATATACTCTGCTATCTTTCTTTTGCCAAACTGACTACCCAGTAACATAAACATACCTCTTACATTTTATACAGAAGCCGGCTCCACTTACACTCACTACAGGAGTTAGATGTTTCATACCCAAGAAAACCCCGATTCCATATATATCCACCTTTGTCTTCCTTAAACCAAGTAACTTTGCCAAACTCGCACTCACTTTGCATCAGAGAGCAATCCTATGCTGATGTTCTTGTTAAGACTATTTTATCATCATATGCGGTACGAAAGCGGAGTCCTGATCCAATGTGTCCTGCTGTGGGTATTAGCCAACAGAGCACATTAGGGCCTAGAATCTGCCAGGCAAGAGAAAAACGATTGAGTGCATAATGATAATACTGGATGGATAAAAAGCAAGTAATCAGGTCTTGAAACTTGGCGCCCATGGTCGAATGACTTTATGCTTATCAGTCTCCGAGTATTTTATCAAACAATCAAACACCAACTTTCAGTCCGTTTAGTAAGGGTAACCTTGCAAAAGGGCTGAATCTACTACATTTATGGAAAGGAAAACCCTTAAATAAAATCCCATTCTACTAACTAAGGATGTTTTTACTTGGACTGAAATTTGCTAGTCTGATCTGGTCTGTTTAAGTCTAGTCTGGTCCGATCTGAACTGGTCTGGTAAATGTCTGGTCTCTATGTATTTTATAACTATGGAAGTCTAGTCTGGTCTGGTCTGCTTAAGTCTAGTCTGGTCTGGGACTGAAAACAGTCCAAGTAAAAACATCCTAAGGCACTTTTGATTGCTTCCAGCTTACACATAGGAAGTGTTCGCGATTGCTTCTACTATAAAAAAGTGATATTTTAAAGTGATTTTGGGAAAAGTTCGTAATAGTAAAAGTTGATAGTGTTTGAGGAAAAAAAATACTTCTGAAAAAGTAAAAATGGTGTTTAAAACACCCCTCAACCTGCTTCCAGCTTTTAAGTGCTTAATTTAAGAAGATGTCACTTGAAAACATCAATTTCATCTTTTTAAAGCTAAAAGCTAAAAAACATTTTATTTTTATTTTTTTGCAAACACTCCCTTAATCTGCTTACTCTGTGCTAGTAAAGACAGTGCTGGCTTGACATCTAAGTTGCACGGAAACGTGAAAATCATGAGGAAACGGGAATGAGGAAACGTCAACTTTTGCTCAAAAAAGGCTTATTTGGAGAGTTTCCAAAAAGTTTCCGAGAGTTTCCGAAACGGGAAACGTACTCTTTCCCGAGAGTTTCCGTGCTACCTAGCTTGACATAATTGACAAGTTGGCTGGCTACATAGGATGATTAAGGAAAGGTAGTACGGAAGTTCCGTTTTGGTTTAAATGAAAAGAAATGACAATTAAATGTTCTATTTTATATATATATACAAGGGCAGCCCGGGGCACATTGGCGTTCCGAGAAGGCCAATGTGCACAGGGCTAGTCATTTTGACAAGAGGTGTATAAAGAGCAAGCCTTCCCTTGTCATTTTGACAAGAGGCTGCTCCCGGTACTTGAAAAAAGTCTTGAATGAGGCAACTCTTTTAGCAAATTCCAGACACTTCATCACTTTCAGCCACCCCCCTACCAAGCAGGGTGCTAGCTAGATGCTGCAAAGTTGATTATTTATTGACCACGATGCTATAAGAATAAGAGAATGCAACTTCTTACAGATAAAATATTCTCATATGCACCAAGATCATAAGGGTGTGAGTAGAGATGGCCCCCTTTTTCAGCAAGCCACATGGCTCTTACACCTTCATGATACTGTTGAATTAACAAATTTGAAACAGGTCACTTGAGAAAAACAGTACCTCCTATTAGGAAATTAAAAACAGGTCACTTAAAAAACATAACAGAATAGAAACCTCTTGTTGACACGAACCTCAATTGTTGTCTTGTTTTGCAAGATCAGGTAGGTATGCCAACCAAGAAAAAATGCCAATGTTGGGCTTAACGGAATCAACAAAATGCCTGCAATAATCTGGTGAAGGAATAGATATATAGTTAATGTCCAAAGTACCCACAAGAATGGGATCAAACGGATTAGAAGTTGGACCAATACTTTACATTTACAGTTTTGTAAGACCCTAGAGAATTCTGATGAAGATCATGTTCAGATCCCATAGCTAGGCTACCCACAAATAAAACCTTGAAACAAGAACATGAACAGCATGAATGAAATAAGGATATACTGGATGGTAAAAGAAGGGGAAAAGCAGTACGAACATTGAAGAATGGATTACTTCCTTACCAGGGAGTATAGACACGCAATAACAGCATAGACAAGAAAAATGAAGAAAGCCTTATAGTTTGCATGGCCCACACAATTATTCAACCAGACACAATGATGATCCTTCAATTCATCAATAGACAGCACTATGAAACAATTCAGAGGAATTCAAGAAATTGATTTTATGAATCATCCACCAAATCCTTACCATCCGTAAAACACATCTGTTACAGACTCGGCAATGATGGGCACGAGGAGGCTTATAGAGTGAGCACTTCTGACAATATCGCAAATCCCCACCCTGCAAAATAATTCACAGTAAAAAAACTCCTGTCCACACCCCCCAGATCCTCCAAATATGGAGAAAGGGTGTCAGTTTCAAACACTTTTTGTAATCCAAAAAGTTAACTACTATAGTTTGCTCTGAAAAAGCTAGCTTTTCATATTATTTTCCAAAAATTACCCAAAAATAGTAATAGACAAGTTACATGATATATACGATAGTATATGATAATTTGAGTTACATTGAGAAGTGAGTTTTAAAAACATAAGATCAAATTATTAACTATGACAGTGTACCTTATGTCCTAACAAATGTAAAAAGTTGTACATTGGTCAAACATGACTTTTTTGTAACAGAAGCAGGAATGAAATTACATCAGAACCCCAATAGGCCAGTTATTTACAAGAAATGTATAAAGTTATCCTTTTCATAGACAGCAGAAGATTTCATTGCAATGCACTGAGTTTGAGTAAGAAGGAAAGTTGATAGTTTCCAAAAAATGCGTGAAACTTGTATATGTAATGTACAACAAGTTTTAAAATGCCAGGATACGTCAGGTCACAAAGGATTTAATCAAGGGAGAAGTCATGGTATGAGGAGCAAACAAGCCATCGAACTAACAACAAACAAAAGGTGCATTACTATAAATTCAATTGAAACAATTCAAATTCCCCCACTATATGGGAGTTTATTGAATAGCAATCAGGTCCATCAAGAGTTTTAATTTCTTTGAATATTTGTCAACAATCTACCCCACACATTCTGGAAGATAGATGGAGTTGGTTTTATCTATCACAAGAGCCTAAATCACTCTGCCCATATCTGCAATGGCTCGAGATGTTTATCCTTCAATTATTTTATCACATATCAGCCAAAAGAGTGTTTAGCTTTATTGAACCCGAAGAAAGAATATCTGAAGATAGGGCTTTCCGGTTGTGGCATTGGGAAATGAAAAATGCATGCTCAAATTCAGAAATGAAGGTGCCACATGTCGCCAGATGTTTAGATCCAATTTGGGCAAAACAAATGACCTGGATAACCAAAACAAACGCCTACCTGGGGAAAGGTTTTTCTAGAAACGCTTCAATGGGATATGTAGTTGGTTTCACCTTTTGTTCATTCAGTGGCTTATTTGCTCCTCTGAATAGTCATATCTGAAGGAACCTCCTTTGAGATATAATAATTGCAGATTCTCCTTCAAAGTTGATTGAGGGGTAACAAACTAATAGGAGATTCGAACAAGATAAGAAGGGGAATGTATGATACGGAGTATGATGACTATCATGATTAATGCTTGAAAAGTTCCGAAGTGCCGTGTTTAAGATGCCTCATTAGCTGATAGAAATGGAAATGAAAAGGATTCCAGAAGATAGAGATATGTCTAATTATGAATTTTTCAAGTGCCTTATACCACATTATACTTCCATTTAAAATTTGAGAATTGAGAGAGAAAGAAAAGAATAATAGCGCTTAGGTATGCCTGGAAGTTGAGTATTGGAGGGGAGGGAAAGGGAAGGGAGTAGTTGTTTTATTTTTCCTACAAAATGTTGCTTTAACTTGATAGATTTCTTATAGATATTAAAGTAGCATCAAACTCAATGTTTTAGAAATTCAGTTATTACATAAACCATATATAAATCTTGTCATAAATCTCTGTGCGCATGTATGAATGCCTTCTATAGATGGACTACAAGCATTTCTGTTTCTAAAGATGACATATTTATCAAATATACACTGCCGACATATAATTTAGCTATTGTAACGACACACCACATTAACAGCGAAAATCATGCACATACCCTGCACCATATTTTTCATGCATTGACATTTGACATTGTCCCTAATTACATAAACATCTATCACACAAATGAAAACCCAATGCAGCTCCAGACCTCCTAAGCTTTGGCTGAGAAGCCCAACAATCTTATCAGATCAGCTAAATGTAACACACAACTTTAAAAATCAAATTGATTATGAACTTGTGACTAAATATTCTTGAGAAAGAAAATTGGCATATGACAAACTGTTAAACAAATCTACCCAGACTGGAAGAATATGCAAGAGAAACATCGCCAAGTAATAAGCACATGAGTTTAACTAGCTATCCCTCAACCAAATAGATACGTAGTATTTATGTAGCAAATTTGTATGTTCTTCGTTCATTCAGTTCTAGCTCATACAAGCATAATCTTTATACACAAGCATAAATCAAACAGAAAACACATAAACAATGAAATGCAAGGACTAACTAGGATTTAGCATAGAGACCTTGCGCTTGATCTCTTGAATTGCGTTATCAGGTCCTTCAAGGTCAGGCAAGTATGAAGCAGGAACCCGACCCGGATCAGTATATACGGCGAGGCCATAGTTGGAGGTGCAGAGAATCGCAATGACGGTGAATGCAAGAGCGTTTAGCATTCCCGGTGAGGAGCCGAGGCCGAACCACCGGTCTATGAATACGAACACCGTCGACCAGTAAGTGAAAACGATGGCCGATATGATGACGGCGACATAGAGAGTGACCTTGCAACCGCGCTCCATTCTCAATTCGATCGAAGATTTGGATGTCTACGTTGTCGACTCGTCGTCCGCGGCGGCGGTGGTAGCGGAGACCCCGGCGTAAGGAGTGTTACGACGGCGTCCCCAGAGAGATGGTTCGGCAAGGATCTAGAAGGCGTGCTCTGCCGAATGCCGCTATGGATTGTGAGTCAGTGAGTGGGTATACCGTAACTTTTAAGTATGTACGATAGTATCTGAAGTCTGAAGTTCAACCGGATTGTAGACACTTTCTTCTGTGTAGATTTGTCATTAGTGTATCTAATAATAATAATTACATTAATATGTAAAACTTCACATTTTTTTTTAAATTATGAAACCGTGCAATATGCGTGCAATATTTTTTTTGAACGTGCAACAAATAGTTTATGAAATCTAATTTGTAGTACAATATAATGATTTATTTTCTTCAAAAAAAATTTTGATTTATTTTCAAGAAAAAATCTCTAAATACGAATAAAAAAAGTTTTTAAGTTCCAAAATACGACTGTCACATAAATTTCAAAAAAATTACTCTTAATCAATGCATTATCTATTTATTTTCAAGCTCTTATAATTATAGAAATTTTAAATGTGAGTAAGACATAGATAAAATGCACAAATTTATATCGTATGATTTTTCATTCGTGGATCAAGCAATTACCTTAATATGAAAAATTCAAAATTTAAATTTTTAATATGTCTGCAAATAGTATATGAATTATAGTATGTACTCCCTCCATTCTTTATTAATAGTTCCGCTAGCCTTGGACACGGGTTTTAATAATAAAGTAGTAGTGTAAATATAGAGTGTGTAGGGTAAATGATAAAGTAGGAAAGAAAGGTATATTAAAAAGAATAAAGTGAGGATAAAGTTGGAAAGGGAGTGTATTAAGCAGAGTATAATGATGATAAAGTAAAAAAGAGAAAATAGTTTGTAATAAGTAAGTGGGGTAAACGTAATAAAAGTGGAGGTATTTTATCAAAAACTTTCCTCAAATGGAAAGAAAGACAAAAGAAAAACAAACCCAAATGGAATAAGATATTATTAATAAAGAAAGGAGGGAGTAGTACGCAGTACAATTTAATAATTTATTTCAAGCTCTAATATTTATAGAGAATTTCTTAAATGTAAGACATAGACAAAGTGCACAAATTTATACCATGACTTTGAATTATATTCGATTATCAAGATTGTATCTATTTCTCCGAGGCTCAACCCAAGCATACTCAATAAACACTTTCCCACAAGCAGATTTGTCATTAATAGATCTAAGGGAAAAGTGTCAAATAGGTCCACACACTTTTACCAAAAAGTCAATTGAGTCCATGTACTTTTTTTCAATTCAATTAAGTCCACCAACTATAAAAAATCTATCAAATCAGCTTTTTAGCAGGTGGTAAACCGGTTACCCGGTGAAACGCCTACGTGGAAGTCCGAGATGGCATTTTTTACTGTTTTTTTTTACTTTTCCTTTTTCCTCTCTCTTCTTTTTTCTCTTTTTTCTCTTCCTTCCTCTTTCTTCTCGGTCCTCTCCTCATCTCCCAGTCCGGCACGCAGCCCTCTTCTCCTCTCCCAGTCCGGCAACCGTCTTCTTCTCTCCCAGTCCGGCAGTCCCCTGCTCTCCGCCGCCCTGGCCTCTCCAGCCATCACCTCCGCCGCTCAGGTCTCTCCAGCCACCACCTCCGCCGCCCAGGCCTCTTCAGCCTCCACCTCCGCCGCCCAACCTCCATAGCCACCGCCGGAGTATGGCCTCCACCTTTACCTTAAGTCCTCAACCGCCTCCGGCCACCACTTCCGTGACCTTCCCGTCCGCCTCCTCCATTGAAGCGACCTCCAACCGCGCCGGCTTCCATAGCCGCCGCCCCCTGACCACCTTACCCACAGCTTCAGCCGGCTCCCACATCCATGGTCTCCACCTCCACCTCTTCCGTCGGACGACCTCCAACCATCCCAACATCCATAGCCTCCGTTGCCACCTCCATAGTTGCAGAAGAAGGAAGAAGAGGCCGTAGATGGAGGGGTTTGAGACGCAGCAGAGGAGCGGACCTGAAGAAGAAAGAGAAAAAAGAGAAAAAAGGAAGAGAGAAAGGGAAAAGAGAAAAAGGAAAGTGTTGGGTTAAGGGCCCAAGCCGAGGTCCGGCCCACTAACCCATTTTGCTAGACGAACGTCCAGTTAGAACACTAGGCCAACCCACGGGCCCATGTTCCCTGAGGATGGACGAACGTCTGGTGTTGGGGGACTCAGGCCCAGCAGCTCATCCCGACGAACGTATATGCAGGGACAAGGAGCAGAACCACGGGCCACCAGGGATGGCGACGAACGTCCCCAGGACAAGCCTGTAGTCATCGGGGAAACCCAGTCCGCATGATGAATACCATTCAAGGCCAGGAGACGAACAGCCGATATCTCTCAAGGGTACACTTGGAGCAATCCAACTCACTTCCCGGGTGGATGAACGTCCCCACTAATCCGGCGGGAAACCTAGATTCTGGCGGGAAGTGCATTTAATGCTAAAGATTTGGTAGTTGGGACACCAGCGGTCCACAGGCTGCCACGTCACTACAGCCACCTGCCCATTGGCGGGTATAAATAGAAGCATTTATTTCATTGTAAAGGGTTGGCAACTTTCTATTCTTAGCACCCTAGCTATAGCATTCTATTCGCAGCACTTCTACTGCCTTGTAAGACGAACGGCCGACGGAGCTTTAGCAAAAAGTATTGTATTAGGGAGTTATTAAGAGATAATAATACCTAATCACTTACTTGCTACTTATTTGTTTCTTGATCCTTACCATCTGTCTGTTGGGCTAGTTATTCATACGCACTCCACTCGAAATCTTTGGGCTTACGTGTTGGGCCTGAAGGTTGAAGGAATAAACCTCAACACTGGCGCCGTCTGTGGGAAACGAACTAAAAGTTTCCAAAAAACTCTCCCGAAACAGCTACTAAATCTACCCAAAACAGGCGCGATGACAAGAAACAACCGCCAACGCGATCTCTCCGAGCAGTTGTCCCGCGGACGAAGCAACCGCGGGCAAACCACGGAATACTCCGAGACGTTGGGGACGACTGGGGGTGAGGGTGGACTCACAAACCTCATCCCCCACGAAGCCAGGCATGACCCTCGACTCATGAGGGAACTGGCGGAAACAATGCGCCGAATGGCGGACGAACAGGAGGCGAACGAAGAGGTGTATTCAGCCAACACCATCTGGACGCCCATATCACCTGTCCGCCGCATGCAGACCCTGGATGAGACAGCGGAATCTGCCGGGCGCCGGACACCCATCCACATGAGGCTGGGTCAGAATCCGTCTTCCCATGGAGCTGGAGGGCACACCAGCGCCAGTACCCCCCCGCTATGGGTGGCAAGATGACCACCGGGGACGCACGCCGGATGTCCCCTCCGAACAGCGGGGCACCATCATTACCCCCCGCCGCCAGTAATATTGGACGACGTTTCCAAAGACATGGCGCCCATATCACACGAAGGCAGCCCGACGCGGTCGCCCCACGAAGGAACATTGCGCTCGAGGCCGCCCCTCCTGTGTCCCCCGGAAGGGCCGCACAGGAGGCCCGGCTAGAGGCAATGGAGCGGCGATTAGCCGAAATGGACAGACGGGCGGAGGCCACCCCAGCCACGCCGCGCTTCTCCCTCACGTCACCCTTCACCCCGAGGGTCATGAATGCAGAAATTCCACGGGACTGCAGGCCGCCCCAGGGAATAGTGTACAACGGGACCGGAGATCCTAAGGCGCACCTGATCAGTTTCCAGGGGAACCTCTCTATGCTAGGGGCATCTGATGAGGCCATCTGCCGACTCTTCTTCAGCACCCTGAGAGGTCCGGCGCAAGAATGGTTCGGGCAGCTGAGGCCCGGATCCATTGATAATTACGAACAGCTGTCCCAGCAGTTCATGGCACAATTTGCTGCCAGCACCACCCCCAAGAAGAGCTTCACATCGCTCACAAGTGTGAAGCAGGGGAAGGACGAACCTCTGGCCCAATTCCTGGTCAGGTGGAGAGATGAGGTGCTTCAGGTGGATGATCTGGACGAGCGGCTGGGGGTGAACATGTTCACCAGCGCTCTAGCAACAGGGGACCTGTACCGGGACCTTCGGAGAAACCCCAGCACCAGCTACACCGAGGTGCTGGCTCGGGCACAGAAGTACGCCTCCATTGAGGAGGAGATCAGATTGAGGGACGGCGCACCTGCCGCCCCCTCCCGGAAATTGGCGGATAGGCTCGGTCCCGGAGGTGGGCCATCCCCCCCAAGCAAAAAGAAGAAGACGGACGGCGGCATGGTTCCGTGGAAGGCTCATTCGGAGGCCAGCCGCGCACGCCCGGAGGGATACCACGTCCCTCTGGCCTACCCCGTCAGCCAGATTTTTAACGCAATCAAAGACAAGGGCATCCTGAGGGAGCCCCAAGACAAGAAGGCACTCATGGGTCAGGATGAGACCGCATATTGTGAATACCACCAGAGGGTCGGCCACCTCACCGACAACTGCAGACAGCTGAGAACGGCCATCGACGAGCTGATCCGGCAAGGCTACCTGGGCGAGTTCACCCAGCTGTTAAAGAAGAATAGCCCGAGGCAGCCGAACCCGAGATCACGGTCATGGCGCCGCGACGATCAGCGCGAGGCGGAACCTAAGGACGTAGACTATCGGAGTGTTGATAAACGTCCGGAGGGGTCCCTCGGCCCGAACGGCGGAAAGAAGAAGTTGGAGATCAAAGTGATCTTCGGGGGCGCTGAGACTGGGGACACGCCTGCGGAACGGAAAAAGTTTGAAAGGTCCCTCTATGTGGGCTCCGTATCAGCACCCCCCGCTAAAAAGAACAAGGTAGAGGCCATCACCTTTGGACCGGCCGACCTACCGATGTCACCGGCCCCCCACAGGGATGAGCTGGTGATCAGCATGGATGTCAACAATGCGATCGTCCGACGCGTCCTTGTGGATACGGGCAGCAGCGTGAACGTCCTCTACTGGGAGGCATTCGAAGGGATGAAGCTGAGGAAGGATCAGCTGGCCCCCCTACGTACCCCTCTGTCGGGCTTCACAGGGGACTGCATCGATGCGGAGGGTACCATCGGCCTCCCCGTTGAGATCGGGGATGGTCCTCACACCACCCGCATCCGGATGACATTCGTTGTGGTCCGCCTGAAATGTGCTCACAACGCAATTTTAGGCCGGCCCG